TATGATGAAACCAAACTTACAGTTCCTAATACGTCACTGACATCCACAGATGCGAATTCACACGAAAGTGACGGGAAGCTGCGAAAAAATAGAATCTGTATCTAGTTAGCAATCAGATAGATGCTGAAATTTTTATGGCTTTGATTGGGACACATATGGCATTTTGAAGAAATAAGGTAAGCAGTTAGCGAACAATGGGTGCGCAAGATAAATTAACGTTCTAGCATACAGTAGTGTAACGTTGTTTATACACTCTTTAACCTGTTTAAAAAATGAAACTAATAAGACATTTGTGTAGAAAACATATTTGAGTATAATGTACCTTAAGTTAAAATCTATGCGTAAGAAGTCTCCATCAGAGCTCCTGTCAACAATGATGGATGTGGAAGTGCTGACAGCCAGATAATTATTCAATTCCTGTAAAATTAAAGTTGCAAAGTCAAAACGGCATTCATTTATCGAAATTCGCAACGAAATGAAAATTCTAAACAGCAGTGACATTAGTCTTTAACATATCACTTGGACAATCGCCACAGAATGATACAATCCAGTTATCTTGAAACTTACCATTCCAAATAAAAATAGCATAGCGATGGCTGCTACGATGGACAATCCAGCACCAGACAGAGTCGCTTCTGTCAAATCCCTCGGGATTTTCCTGAAGGCACAAATAAAACAATATGAATTCTCTCTAGTCCAGAATCACAAATCTCGGACTTTCATAATCTAAACTTTGTAACAAAACCGAAACAGAAGCGACTAACAATCATCCTGAACCCTAGAAAAAACACACCAATTTCACTAAGATCAAATGACAATTTGACTAAACCCTACCACTGATCAGCAAGAAAATCCATAGAATGCAGATACTTGACAAGATTATAAACACACTAAACTATCAATACCAATTATGTAACTGCCTAGATCGAGGAATTTCGAAGTCTATTTATGAAAGGAGAAGCAAGCTTGAGAAATCTGCAAAAACCAAATACAGAAACAAACCTGTAGAAATCGACGGATTTGATCTTGCTCGTGGAGACCATCTTCGTCGGATAAGGAGTAAACTGGGGAAACAAGAGCTCTGCTTCTCTAAGCTTCGACACGAAGAACCTCTCTCCTCCCCTTCGCGATTTATCTTCAGCTTCCAGATTTGAAACTTCTCTCCATCGATACAAAATTACAATACTAGTCCCCGTTGCTTTCGGTCCCTTTCTAATTTCACCACAATAGTTTTATCACAACAAATTAGTACCTCATAGTCTCATAACTCACAAGTTTACAATTACCGTTGTATATCTAGATTTTTTTTGTTTTCCTGTAAACTTTTTAATATAATACTTTTTGGGTTAGAAAATTGGAATAGTAACATGTCAAAACATAAAAACTAGGTATGTAACTATTGGTGTTGTATTTCGCACCCCAAATACAGCCTGAGAGAGACCCATTAATAGTAGTAAGGTCGGCCCACCGGGCGAGGTCCGATAGATAGGTCCGAAGAAACAGTTGGAAGAATATACCGCTAGCTACGAAATGGGGATGGAGCATGTAGAATGTAGTGATGGGCTCGTATTTAGCCCACTATCGTAAAGCCCAATATGCCCAGCTAAAGGCCCAGTCGATGAACCATGCGATTGGGCTGAATGAAACAGTTAACAAAATTACTTGCGAGCTGCATGCTGAAGAGGAGTTCGCGGATAACTAGTTGAATCAGTCATGTCGGAGATTTCGGAGCGCATGCTGAAAATCTGGGATCGTGAGGAGAAGGCGCTACGCGAATATAGGAGCGGTTGAACTTGATTGACCGCCTATATCAAGAGAGAAGAAGTCTTCTTCGAAAGGGGGCCGAATCACGATCACTTTTACCCTAGAAAATCACCTAGAACTAAATACTGCGAGTTGTATTATGTTGTTCTTATTTTTCCATCTCATAAAACCTTTGTATTAATCTTGTTATCACTTTGATTTTTTGGTCATATTAATACAAATCCATCTCGTTATTCTCCACCGGTTGTTGTTGTTGTAGATAAATCTGTTGATATCGAGGGATTTTCAGAAGAGAATGTAGTTCATGTTGCTGCAGTTGAGCAGGCGCTGCCATCTACCTCACAGGAGGTTGCTGTTGTTGTCCCAGCTTCAGGTTGAAGTCAACGTCAACGTGTACAACTGACGTGTTTGCAAGATTGTTGTGTATACCACCACAAACCC